AGCGTCAGCAGATGATATTTTTGTATATATATAGAAATTGGAAGAGCGGTGGAGAATTCGAAATTGGGGGAACGAAAAACGCGATGGGCACCCCCGCAGCGCCCCCAAAAAATGAAAGGCACAGGAACCGGCTGCGTTCTCCCCTTCCTTTCGCGCGGTCATCCGGTAGTAACAGTAACGAGGGAGAAGCGGGAAGCGGGAAGCGGCGGTCGGAAGGGAAGGGAAGCAGGGTGATGGTAGTAGAGATAGTAGCATTAGAATTAGACTGGAATGGAATGGAGAGCGAACGGGATGCGCGCGTGAGATGAATGGCAGGGGAAGGAAGGACATGAAGCAGGAAGCGGTGGTATGGACGCGGGCGAGGGCGAGGGAGGGGTGCGTAGCTAGTGAAGTGAAGTGAGGTGAAGGGGAGGGAGAAGGCGAGGCTGAGTAAGGAGGGGGTAATGAACGCGAAGTAGGCCGCCAAGAGGGTGTTGGGGCGCAAGGGGAGGAGGGGAATGCAAAGGTGGTGAATTGGGCTCGACCGGTCGAAAAGCTGTCCCCCGCCAAACAGAAAAAAAAGACCGCGCACCTTCAAACTAAGCACATGCACGAAATCGGGCAACTCGCCCAAAAGCAGCGAGTGCAACACGTGCGAGCTCGGGTCGGGGGGGATCCCGCCGCCTACGCACCATTAGCACCCACTTCAATAAAATAAAAGTTGTAACGCACCTATTCCACTGACGCCGACGGCCCCGCCCTGCACGCCACACGACGCCAAGAACGCGGGGTTCGTGAGGAGGCGGGCGAGCGTCGCGGACACGCGGGGGGCGGGGACGGCGGTGGAGCGGCGTTCCCTCGTCGTCGTCGCCACCGCGCCCTCGGTCGTCTTCTTCGTCGTCGCAGTCGCAGTCGTCGTCGCCGCGGCTTGTTGCTGCAACGACACGAGCGCGCCGGCATAGTACGTCCCCTGCCTTACGCGCTCGCAGATGCCCTCGCTCTGCTGCGTCAAGTCGATCTGGAAGCCGACGAACCACACGCACTCGCCCTCCTTTGCGCCCGCGTCGGCGTGCTCGCCGAAGAGCGGGACGACGGACACGAGGTTGACAAAGGCGCTCCCGTCCTTGCGGTAGTTGACGACGCTGACCTGGGCCTCCTTGCGGCCCCCCACGGCCTTTGCGAGCGCGCGCACGGCGTTGTTGCTCGTGTGGCGCCGCTCCTCGCCCTTGCCCACCGGCGGCGTCGCGCCGCCCGGCGCGGGCGGCGCCTGCAGGAAGCGGCAGTTGCGGCCGAGCACCTCGCGCTCCCTGTACCCCGTGAGCGTGCAAAAGTTGGGGCTGCAGTACACGATGGGGTCGTCGTGGCGGCGCACGTCGACCACGACGAACGCGGTGGTAAAGTCGACGGGGCCCAGGCGGACGACGGGGTTGCTGCGCGTCTGCACGCGGGCGAGGAGGGAGACGATGTCGAAGCCGGACTGCGAGTACACGGGCAGGCCGGAGGTGAGCGCGGCGGGGGGCTCGGGGGGCGGGGACGCGTTGAGGGCGTAGTGGCTGATGGGGGTGTGGTTCAGCGTGGGGAGGGCGAATGGGCTCTGGGCCGGGAACGGGGCGGTCCAGGCGTCCTGGAGGCTCTCGAGCGAGTGGTATGCATCCTGGACGGCGGGGAAGCCGTCTGTCTGGTACTGGGGATACTGGGCCTGGTGGCTGAAGCCGCTGTTGGCGAACCACATCGCCGCCTGCGCGGGGTGCAGCGCCTCGGCGCCTCCGCCCGACGCCAGCGTCGGGGGCGCATCGTAGAGATACTCGGGCAGCTGGAACTGGATGGTGCTTGCGGGCAGGCCATGCTCGCTGTGCTCGGCGTAGTCCTGCAGGTACTCGAACGACATGGTTATCCACAAGCCCTTTTCGCGTGGAGTAGTAACTTATATCTGGCGAATCAATCTATCCCCATCTAGCCGCCCCCCTTGCAAACAAACTCTGCCTCACTCCTCAAACTCGCCCTACAAAATTCGTTCTACTGCACAGCCGTTCCACGAAATCGGTTGAAGAAACTTTGTGACGAATAGAAAATTTATATAGGAAGTGGTACGATCGGAGGCAACGAATCGTTTCCTACACCTGGATATGGTACCAGGAATTTACAAATTGCGCCCCAAAAAAAAAAAAAGCTAGTGCATGAAAAAAAAGCTGCCGAAAAATCCCAAGTGCAGTTTTTTTTGGTGCACTATTTTTTTTTTTTTTTGGGGGGCACAATTTTCTTCAACCGCAGTTGCTGCGGTTGAGACTTTTCACCAGTTTTTTTTTTCGTGCACTAGCTTTTGTTTTTCTTTCGGACGCAATTTTCTTCAACCGCAGTTGCTGCGGTTGAGACTTTTCACCAGCTTTTTTTTTCATGCACAAGCTTTGTTTTTTTTCGGGCCCAATTTTCTTCAACCGCAGTTGCTGCGGTTGAGATTTTTCGCCACTTTTTTTCATGCACAAGCTTTTGTTTTTTTTTCGGGTGCAATTTTCCTCAACCGCAGTTGCTGCGGTTGAGATTTTTCACCAGCTTTTTTTTTTCGTGCACTAGCTTTGTTTTTTTTCGGGCGCAATTTTCTTCAACCGCAGTTGCTGCGGTTGAGATTTTTCACCCGCTTTTTTTTTCGAGCACTAGCTTTTGTTTTTTTTTTCGGGCCCAATTTTTCTTCAACCGCAGTTGCTGCGGTTGAGATTTTTGGCCAGTTTGTTTTTCATGCACTAGCTTTTGTTTTTTTTTTCGGGCGCAATTTTCTTCAACCGCAGTTGCTGCGGTTGAGATTTTTCGCCAGCTTTTTTTTTCGTGCACTAGCTTTTGTTTTTTTCGGACGCAATTTTCTTCAACCGCAGTTGCTGCGGTTGAGAGATTTTTCGCCACTTTTTTTTTCGTGCACAAGCTTTTGTTTTTATTTCGGGCGCAATTTTCTTCAACCGCAGTGGGTGACTTCCCATAACGATTAAAAAATGTTTTCAGCATATTTTGAAGCTTTCCGACCAAACTCCGCGACAGCTGTCGGGACCCCATCTGTTCGGAGGCCCCGAAGGGGCAGGAATTTATTCGAATCTACTAAAATCTGAAGAGGGGGTACCCCCCCCCCTCTTCAGATTATAATAAAGCTGAATAAAATGTTTGGCGGAGTGACGATGCTTCCAGCCGTCCTCTTCAATGTCCAAGTGGCCGATTTGCCTCAGGAAAAATTCAGTGGGCTCTCATCGCATCTCGGAGTCCATTCCGGCCGGTCTTCTTCCAAAATGGCTGGACTCAGATTGTGGTTTTATTCCCGTGAAACTTATTTTTTGGCGTGCTGGGTGATTATTCTAAACTTGGCCAGCCATCACTGGCACTCTCAAGCAAGCTCAGAAACACTGAAAGATATTTTAATCGTTATGGGAAGTCACCCAGTTGCTGTGGTTGAGATTTTTCACCAGCTTTTTTTTCGTGCACAAGCTTTACGTACCCATGTAAATGAGCGTTGATGAATACAATAACGCCCTGATGGTGTAGGAGATTACACCTCGTTTTGAAGTGGGATTTGGGAATACCAAGGCACCTCTTCACAGCGTGATTACCGATAACTGATCTCACAAGGCAACACCCTGCCATCTTATACCCCAACAACTGACCCTTTGCACTTCAGGTCAATCGATACGACCACGGCCACTTACCGCGGATTTAAAGAATTGGTGTGCGCCATGTCAGTGGAGCTAAAATAACCATGTCATAACAGACAATGTCCATGGAGAAAATACAACGCCGTGCGCCAGGCGGGCCTGTTCGCAATCTATGTCGTCCAGGGCGACTCGTTTGCGGGGTGGAGCGCCTCGGCGCCTCGGCGCCTCCGCCCGACGCAGCGTCGGGGGCGCATCGTAGCTGGAACTGGATGGTGCTCGCGGGCAGCGGGCCAAGCTCGCTGTGCTGGTAGTCCTGCAGCTACTCGAACTTGAACGACATGGTTAACCGCAACCCTCGAAGCCCTTTTCGCGTGGAGGTAACTTATATCTGGCGAATCAGTATCTATCCCCATCCAGCTACCACCCCCTTGCAAACAAACTCTGCCTTTACTTCCACCCCGTTTCTATTCTCTTCACGCCCTCCGTCTTCCTCTTCCCCCTGCAGTGTCCCTGGTACCCACCCCCATGAACACGCATCTCATCGCAACCACCAACGCAGATCCCGCGGGCACGCCATGTTCGCCGTTCTCCCGCTGACAACCGAATCAACATTCTTACTGTCCCTCGAACGTCTTGGAGGAGGACCCATGCCCGTACGCTGCTGACGCCCCGCCCGCGATCCATCGCCCCTGCATAATAACCCTGGCAGACCTGGTCTGCGTTTAAATGCGCTCACCGCTGTCTCGCTGCGACGCCACATGACGTCGTCTAGCCGAACTGAGCTCTCACCGCGTCTCCCTCCAAACGGCGCCGGCGTTCCCGAGACGTCCTGCAACTGAATTTAAACTCGCGCCCCGACTGGCTCAAAACCAGCAACCCAAGCGGATGACCCGGAATGCTTCTGCAGACTGAGTTTAAATCATTATCCCTCCAAAAATAAAAATAAAAAATAAAGCGCCCCGATCAAAACGCGTCGCGTCTGTGATGGTGCATCAGCCGACGCGCGTATTGCACTCGACGAGAAGGACTTGAGAGATATTGGCACCGGCTTGGTGGTGGGTACCATCTCTGCACCTAATCATGAGGGAGAAGATAAATGCAGCAGAGATCACTCGTTCGACTCGGGCCTGAGCTGTTCATCACCTACCCTCTTTTTTGTTTTCAAATAGTAAAAAGCCTCACATAAATTCAGCCAGCACACAGTACTGAGAACGACTCGGTGGTGGGAACCATTTCTGCATCCAATAGGTTCGCCAAGAGGTTGCAGCAGGGACTGCTCGTTCGATTCGAGCCTGTGCCATTGTATTCTGCAATTGTAACTTTTTGTTGCCCCTTGATATTTTGAATCCACAAACTTGTGCATAAGTTCAACTACAAATCACTACCAAGAATGGCTCAGTGGTGGGTACCATCCCTGCTATCAATTGAATGTTTACAAGTGCCAGCAGAGAGTGCTCGTTCGACTCGAGCCTGAGCCATCACCTTGCTTGTCAAGGTCTCTCCAACCTCATAATGGACGCGTTTCATGCAACCCGGTTTGATCCGTCCGTTTTCTCCCGCGTGCACAGCCTTGGTCTTCCTCTTTGCTTTCATATGCAAATCTACTGGCTAAGTTGAGGGGACCCGCCTTTGGTGGGTCAGCACACAGCAGTTTGTGTGCTCGCAATGACAACAGCGGATTCCGAGTTCCCCTGTTTTTGGCCCTCGCTTTGAACGCTCGGGCATCTCGTGGGAGAAAGCATGTGACTTACATCACATGACTTTCACGTGGTGGCAGTGCTCTTCGTGTTTTAAAGTATAGGATGCAAATCTACTGGCTAATTATCACACTCTCTACTACTCATCCTGTCCCACCACTTCGTTGTCCTCTCATTCAATTCCTCCAATCTATCATCTTCGGCCAAAGTCTCGCGTCGTGTGCTTGTCGGAAAATCTCGTCGTTGAAATCCCGCAATATTTGTATCGTCTTTCGTCCTGAACTTTGTCCGCAGTTCATAGCAGACAGCAGGAACGGGGACACAATTTTTTTGAGCAGTACTTGCCAAGAGTGTGATATGTAAATACACAATATTTCTTGATCGATGCAGCAAGGTGTTCTTCCGACGTAGTCGGAGCTTCCTAGTCAATCATGATCACGGTATCCAGTCCTTTTTTTCCTTATATGTGGAAAAGAGTCGTGCATAAATGAAGCCATAAATTAATACTCAGAATGGCTCGGTGGTGGGTACCAACTGGGCATCCAATATGATGTCATAATGAACATCAGTCACCGCTCATTCAACTCGGGTGTGAGCCATGACCACCATCTCCATTCCTCTTTTACTCTCTGTGATTCGACAAAGTCGTGCATAAATTCAACTACAAATCAGTACCGAGACTGGCTCGGTGGTGGGGTACTATCCCTGTGATCAATCAAATGGTCAATGTGATGCAGCAGAGAGCGCTCGTTCGACTCGGGCCTGAGCCATGCTCCCAATTTCACTATCTGATTCTTTTATGGTTTTTGAATCGAAATTTCATGCATAAATTGACCTACTGACCGGGATTCCGACAGCTCAGTGGTGGGCACCATCTGCGTACCCAGCTTGCAGCACAACGTGCTAACATACAGCAGGGACCGCTCGTTCGATTCGGCCCCGAGCTGTTCACGGTCAAGACCCCTTTTTTGTTTTTAAATAGTGAAAAGCCTGGAAACCTGGGGGCAAACCAGGAAACACTGAGGCCGAGAATCACACCAGAGGTCAACAAGATCTCGGTATGGATTGCGAGCGAGCGGTACAAGGTAGACGACAAAGAAGAACTGACGACGTAAGCTATGACGGTACGTATGTAAGCCACCGGGATTACACCCTCCCCGTCTCTGAATCATTGAGTATTGTACCAAGCAGAAAGAAAAGGGCGAGAAGTACCACAAGGTTCGATGTACCAAAACGAGATCGGCGCGGGACACATCAGTACGAACAGGGCAAGGCCAGGTGCGCAATGAGGACGCCAAGCGGAACGCGCAAATGGAAAGTCGAGGGGTTGCCAGAAGAGAAGAAGCGAGATTAAAGAGTCAATAATGTAGCAAGAAAGGGGGAGGAAGCTAGAAATTACGAGTCGAGAGGTCACTGTCGTCGGTGCCGATGCTGCTGTCATTTTCATCCTCGATCGCCGGGAACACCGCAGCGACCGCATATAGCTCGTCATACTGGGACGCGAAACCCGCAGGACCGATAGCCGCGACGACCGAAGACGTTGAAACGGCGCGTTTGCAATGTGCTGCCATCTAGCTACATTTTGCGCTTTTTAGAGCTAGCGCATGACGAAGTCTGCTAGCTTCTATTAGGTACATTAACTAGCTTCTCAGGGCTACAAACTAGCAATGAGAACTCTGTTCGGTGGTACAAAGGAGAGTCAGAGTGAGCTCCGGCTGCTGGCTGTAGTACGAGTTATAGTGCTAGGCGCGGTTTACAAGCGTTACACTAGGCGAATACACGCATCAAGGAGATAAACATACAGGTCTAGTACCTCAGAGTGTCAAGGATTCTATGAACGAGGACCAACGACTGCACAGACGGAGCTTTGGTCGGAGCTAGCGCAGAGTAGGAACGAGCACGAGCGAGCTAGCGGGTGTAGGAAGGCGGCTAGTACCATAGCAGCTGGACATACACTGCTGAAGTCGATACAGTAGCGGTCGAAGTGGCGCTAGCTGAGGCAATGCGAAGGGGACCAACCATAGGGGTATAGGAGTATACCCACCAGCAGGTCAGGTGATGGACGCGACGCGATCCAAAGAGCCTAACGAAGACAAATAGCGGAAACAGTGAATTCATGTTGAGATGGAGCAGTGGATGAACGCTAGGATGTTCAGTCCGTAAGATAGCGGGGTGGAATGGCGTGATTATGAGCAAGCTACACCGGGAATAGTAGTTCCGGAGTGGAGTTGCACATGGAGAGTTGCTCGGGTGCAGACTAGCACGCTGAGAAAGGCAATTATACCCGGCTTGGTTGTCGAGATGGTCAGATAGTTGGCCAGCTAGGCAAGCCTAGACCACGAATGGACCCGGCTCGTCTTCCGAAGGCGGTCGCATGACCAGAACATCGGCCTGTTTTACTCATTTCTCTTTACCTCATCATTTTCTCTCTGAACAGTATATAAAGCCTCATAAAATACCGCTAGAGACCAGTTCATGCCCCGCTCATCGCTCAGTCGATAAGGGTGTGCTCAGGCCAGTCGAAGCGGAGATAAAGTACCTTCTCTGTTGTAGTCCAGTCTTTAAGAATCGCAGCGTTGTTTGTTGGATCCAGAAGTAACTGTGTGAACCAATAAGTCGAAGCTTCGCGTTGGGAGTTTGTGAGCGGTGCCAATCTCCACGTATAAATCAGGACCGAGAGCACAAGAGTTTAAGTTTGAGAGTTGCGGCTAGCTTTGTGGTGGACTTCAGTGGTAGCTACGCATTGGGTGACCAGGAAACGCCTCCCGTAAAACGGACCACGCCCGGCACAGCACTTTGGTAGAACTGCCAGTCGATTCATTGACCGACTAGTTGAGCTAAGAGAATACTCGGGGTCCTTAATAAGCCCAAGTGTAACAGAAAAGAGCTTGGATTCAGAGGAGTCTAAGTCGGCCGTTAGCAGCATTTAGCTAGCCAAGCCATAGAGGAAGTGCAGGAGAAGCAGCATAGTCCATTAGTGGAAGTTTTCAGATAGACACTTCATTTACCTCGCCTAGGACGACTGCACTTTGTGCGTCCGCCTAGTAAACATCCTTATCACCCCCAAACCTGTACATCCCAAACCTTGGGAAGTCTTGTTTCGGAACGTCAAGGGTAGCTAGCGAATAGTGTGGTGTTTGTTTAGTTGGGATAGTTGAGGCCATAATTCAATTCTCGTTGTGCTAGGAATCCAAACCAGTAGTCGCATACTACGGCTCGGACCCGAACTCACTGAGGAAGACGCGCTTAGTCTTAGTGAAGTATAAGTAGGGGATTTGGTGTTGTCTTAGGTTTTGTGTGTGGTGTGTTAGTGTTCAGCTAGCCCGCATCCAGAGCTTATTTAGCCCATTTTCACTGTTAGCGCATCTTGCCCGTTTCACCGGACCCGGATATAACAGTATTATTAAACTCACCTATCCACGCTACTCAAAATCAATCAATCCTACGACATGTCTCATTACGACGACCAACCTGACGACCCTGATCGTCGCAAATCACGGCTCTACAGCAACATGGTTCCCTTACCCTCTCCCGCTCGACTAATGGCCAATCCTGGTTTGCGGCCCAGCGGAACGCGTTCGACTCCGGTCCCTTTCGGAGTAACGGTACGCCGTTCCTTGCCACCTGTGGCAACAAACCCAGTCAACGTTCCTGGAACTGTCATTCCTCCCACAACCCCATCACGTCATCCGATCACACCTCTCACGCCCGCGTTCGATGATTCTCCGATTCCGGCAACTCCGGGATTGGGATTTGCTCCTATTTACCAGGCAGCTCCGAGCGTCATACCGGAAGAGACGGGTGGAGAACCAGCACGTTCTCCAATCGGCGCAGGATCGCGTCAAAGATCCCGTAGTCGTTCCCATCACTCCGGTCAACAGGCATCCCGCTCCCGTTCCGCTCCGGCACCTGGAGGTGATGGAGGCGGTGGTGGTGACTCGCCTTCCAGTCATGGAAGACGTTCTCCCAGCAGAGGAAGGCCCCCCGGTCGAGGATTCCCCAGACGCCCTGGTGGTTCTCCTCCCGGAGGTGGCTCTCCTCCTGGTGGTGGTGGTGGAGGCGGTGGAGGTGGCGGCGGTCTGCCCCGTCGTCGCTCCCGCACTCCTGATGGAGATAATCAGCTCATGAGGGATACCCTCCTGCAATTCTCCCAGGTTATGACAACTTGGGCCCGGAATGCCGGAGCTCCTCGTTCCACCAAATCTAATCTCAGGAACCCTGACACCTTTGATGGTTCCGATCCGGACAAATTGCCTTCCTTCCTCGCCCAATGTTATCTTCACTTTGCCGAGCGTACCCAAGATTTCCCCACCGACGACGATAAGATTTATTTCATTATATCTTATCTCCGCGGCATCGCTCAGCAGTGGTTCACGCCGAACTTATACAATACCAAAGTCCCGGCGTGGGATAATAATTTCGTTCGCTTCATCGAGGAACTTTCCATCAACTTCGGACCCCATGATCCGGTTGGTGATGCGGAGGATCGCATCCGTCTTTGTCGCATGAAAAATGGTGATCGGATCGCAACTTACGTTCTCGCCTTTGACACCCTGGCCAGTCTCACGGACTGGGGTGACGCTGCTCTCCGGCATCAGTTCTACGAAGGCCTTCCCCGTCCCATCAAGGACGAGATGGTCCGGCACACCCACAACAACACCCTCTTGGGGGTGAAGATGGTGGCCCGGAATATCGATGCCTGGTATCATCGACGAGAGGCCGAGAAGCAGCGCGAGCGGGAACTAGAGCAGGCTGCTGCTGGTCGTTCCGGTAATCGTTCC